ATCAAATGGCTCACTTGATCAACAGCTAAGCAAAAGATTGGAGCTTCGACTTCCCCCAGAGCCCTTAGGAAGAAAGACAGGGGGCTTGGTGATCTACTTCCCCAAAATGAGCCCCTGAGAAACCCCTGAGGAGCACAGCTCTCTCCAACACGCATGGGGTCGCCATGAGTTGAATCCACCCGGTGGCACCTGGTTTGAAGCAGCCATTCGTCTGATAAGAAACCCAAAGAACAGTTCTCTAAGATCTAGTGTTCTACTACCCTTGTGATTTTGCCTCTTTCTGGAAGTACTAATAAGCAGCCCTGTGTCAAAATAAAAGTGATAAAAAGAAGGGTTGGGGAGAAAAATAAAATGCGGGTCCAGAAAACAGTCTCTGTCTCTTTGCTATGAGAGCCCTATATTTTCCAGATCTAACATCAGTTCTGACCCCGGCGACCCCACGGCACAACAGAATGACACATTGCCAGGTCCTGTGCCGGCCTCACAATATCGTCTGTTTGCGCCCGTTGTTGCAGCCGCGCTGTCGGTCCATCTCGCCAAAGGCCTTCCTCTTTTGGGGGAGGAAGATGGGCCTTCTCTGCCCCATCCCTTAACCAAGCCCGTCTTTCTGCAGGACTGGCCTGTCCTGACACCGTGTCCAAAGCACATGAAACAAATTGCACCATCCTTGCATCCGAGGAGAACTCTGGCCATGCTTCTTCCAAGACAGGGCTGTCCGTCCTTTCAGCAGCCCATGGTACTTGCGATAGTCTCCACTGGCCCCACAACTCAAACACGTCAATGCTTATGCGGTCTTCTTCATTCAAGATCTCCAACTCACAACTAGGCTTTGCTCAAACTTGGTACCCATGCATTCCCACTCCCATCCCGATAATAACTACGCCACACACAACACGGGGTGGGCTTCCTTTATTTCAAACCCAGGTCCCACGCATCTTTCTCCTGCTGTCCTCCTGCCTTGGTCTCCACAAAAAAATATAGCTGACGGCTTCCACATACGGTGTTGTTCTTAGCTGCCATGGAAATAGCTCAAGGTGGTTTTCTGGGGCATGAGCTGCCTTCCAAGACACAAGGACCTCATGCCCCGGGCAGCCACCTTGAGCTATTTCCATGATCCACTGCAGATCAGAGCTCTGGGCCATCGGTGTTTCCATGGCTAATTTTTGGAAGCAGGCCCCCAGGCCTTTCTTCCCGGTCTGTCTTAGTCTAGAAGAGTCCATGAAACCTGTTTGGTTTCATAGCAACAAGCAAGCTGCCATTGAATTGGACTCCAATTGATGGTCCTGAGCCAACCTTGGGATTTTTAAGGTCCTCCTCTGTTGATTTTTCAAAGTACATCCCAAGGTCTCTCCTCCTAATCCATCTTCATCTGAAAGGTCCACTGAGATCACTTTGGGTTCAGAACAAGAGCCAAGCCTCCACTGAGAGGCAGGTGGTGATGACAACAAGAGATTTGGGACCCTGGCCACGAGTCAAACCCAGGTCTCCCTCTGGAGAATTCTAGCCCTGAGGTACAGCCACTGCCCTCCTGTTCCTTCCAGGGGAAGGAACCACATGAGAGCCACATTCTTCTTGCAGGCCTGGGCCTGTCATTTCACACACACACACACACACACACACACACACACACACACGCCCCACCACTAAATCAGGAAACCTGCACCCATGCGACAATCACAAGGCCAAAGGCAATCTCTGCTTTGATTTTTAAAAACCAATAACCTAGCAGGGTTTTTGTTTTTTACCCCCTTATTGAAAAGCCCTCTTTACTTTTCTGAGAAAAGCCTGTTTCAAAGCCGCTTTTTTTAAAACGTGAAAGTCTCCTGAGTCCCTCCAAGCAAGAAAGAAATAAGCTCCTATGGAGAGGAGACTGTAAATGTAAGAATTCATATTTATTCATTTTTTTTAAAAGATGGGGAAGCCATTTGAATCTTCACAACCCTTTGATCCTATTATATTTTTAATGGCGAAATCACGGCAAGGCCCCCAGTGGGCCTAGGCGGAAGTTTTAACATTCAAGGCAGCAGACGCACTCGCAGCGCTCTGTGAATGAATGAGAAATTAACCAGCTCAGCCCTGCTCTGGGCCACAATCTTGGCCTGAATTGGATTTGGGTCAGACAGCGAACCCTGGAAATCAGAAAATGTCAGCACCATATTGTTTGCCACACACACACACACACACAGAGAGCAGGGGTGGAGGGTGGGTTCGTAATAAGAGTGAAAACGAAACTTGATCAAAGAACCAATTTCCTGAGCACTAGGAGCTACGCTCCAACTTTACTTAGAGAGAGTCTGTCTGGTGCAAGCCAAACTCTGCCCATTCCAGGGTAATCGAATCAGTTCTAAATAGGAACTGATCAAAGAAGTGGAGAAAAGATACGGTTGTCTCTAGACCCTCTCCTCCTTTGTTGCTAGATGTTTGTACAATCAGTTGATGCCTTCATCCCAGGAAGCTTTGGGAATGTTTCTTGGAGCTGGATTTTTAACTCCAGCTCGTCTGAATTCAAATGTCCGTATTAAATATTAATGAGGGGAGAAAATTAATGAGGTTGCTTGAGAAGGTTACAAAGATTTGTGTGAGGAGGGTGGGGCCGAGGCTTTGTTAAGAGCAGGGTGTATCATCCTCTCCTTGCCCCTGGAACAGGAGGTCCAGGGCCGTTTCTATGGCCACCAAATCTGGACCAGGGCCAGAATCCCACTCAATGATGAGTACCGGAAATATGCATGATGGTGTACCTTCAGGCAAAAGGGGAAGAAAAAAAGAAAGAAAAAACACGGAGCTTCACAAAGATAACCACAAAGAATGTAAATAAAATACTTATCACTTCACCCTCATTGTCGCCCTCCCCCAGAAGCCAAGTAAAAATTGAAGATCCCCTGGGCTGGGAAGGATAACTGGACTGCTCTTGAGGAAGCAGCATCAAGCATCGGGACCTTTCTCCCTTGGCACCCTTTGAACCACGGCCAGGCTGGAGAGGGACGTTGCTCATTTCCATGTGGGAATCAGCAAAGCCAAGCCCCTGTGTTGCTCAGTCGCCAGCCGACAGGGCTACC